TAACCTCTAAGTTCACAGCGGAAGAAAAGACACGAGGCAGCCTGGATTAGAGCTGCGAGTCAGTGAGTCAACGGATTACCTCCACGTATTCTAGGTGAAGACTAAAAGTAACGCTCGGGTGAAAACGTGCTGCCGGCTTTGGCCGTAAATGACAAGTCTTGAGAAAACAAAGAGTGAGACGTACGTCCAGAGGAATTTCACATGACTTCACTTCATCTGTAAGCTCTAAGCGTATCAAGAGGTCAAGAGGCTTTGGAAATAACATTGCATTTTTCATCAAACAGCATAATTTGACATAAAGCAGTGGAACCTCGAGACATGAGCTTCTCCCGACATAGTATTTCGAGATACGAACAAGACTTTGAGCAAATTTTTTGCTTCAAGATACGAGTAAAGATTTGAGATATCAACACGCTTACACCCAGGTGGCCCAGCACTCGGAGCAGCCCACGCCACTTCTCCCGTTCAATTCACGTGTTCGTCGACTTCCGTAAGCATCACTTACATGATTTTTTTTTCTCTATTTTGTGCATTATTCTTCATCATAGTGATGAGTCCTAAGAGAGTGATGTGGTAAGGATGATGGTGAGTCAATACATATGAACGTAGTGCCCACGTGAGTGATCTAGCTCACATGTATGATCGCAGTACATCCACGATATGTACCATCCTGAAGAAAAAAAAAAGCAAGTTAAGTTAATTCTAAGTCCATGTAAGTTACGTAGTGTCCGTGTAAGGTACGGTACAGAATCAAGTGTCTACGTACGAGCCAACTCCGCCCCTCCCCCTCCTACTGTACTACTACAGTATCGTCTGTCTCTAAGGTAAGACCTCATAATTAAAACCACATTTTATTTTATATCACAGGAATCCTTAGATACTATTATTTTTGTGTTTACTGTATGTCTCTGTAGCAGTTAAAAATATGTCTTCTTCCATTGCTTTCCATTAGAGAATAAGGTTAAGTGTTTTTCTGTTTTTTCTATTAAGTACAACTTCTGCTGAGTGAAAGGAGCAAAACAAAAATTGTTCCTTTTTTAAAATTCACAGATTCATAAAACCCATTAACCCATTAAAAACCTCTCTAATAAATAGACCAGAAAACAACAGCCCGCTCATATTTTTATATTGGTTTATTTTTAAAAATAACAACCTTTGACTTGGCCCTGGGGGCATGATGTCATCTGTCCTAATATTTCAAATCCATCTAAAAGCTGTTGACATGACTGAGTTTTTTGTTTTTGTTTTTTTTAACCCATTAGTTTATGGTAAGAGACCACAACTGAGGGTCTCTTAAGAGAAACCGACATCTGTGACCTTAGATGTCTGTGTCCTCACGTATGAGGTTAAAATAAAAACACAGAGTGATAGAGAGAGAGAGTGAAAGAGAGAGAGAGAGAACGAGAGAGAGAGAACGAGAGAGAGAGA